ATACGTCTGTGAATTATGTATTTGGCTTTTTGCAAGGCTCAGCAACAAGTTGTATGCTAAGTAGATCTTAAACCTGGTAATCTATTAAGCAGCAAATACAGTTAGCTTTTCTCCACTTGTGAATGAACAGAATTATTTGTTGGCCTGTTGAATAGCTATAATGTGATCAGTAGAAATGTGAAATCGGTTTGTATTTCCCCTGAAGGCCTTTGGCTGCATACTCATGGTAGTTAATATCCTCTGCATTCATACACTCTGAGACAGTAAATCAAGCCAGGGTCCACCAGTAAGCTGTAATATTTCTAAATGGTGCACGACTTGAAATCACTCTAAAAGAGATAACCACAGAGATGCTATTTAAATATCATTTTGCAGTCTATTTGCTTGTGCACTTCGCTAAGTTTGGCCTCTGATATTTTGAGTTTACTGCTGCTTTGAATGCGAATACTAAACATCACTGCTCACCAAATTTTATGGTCGTTTCTGATGTGTATTACAGATTTTTTGGAATACATTCATGACCTCTGTTAGACCATACTGCAGTGCTACGTTCTTATGATGTCACCTGTAAACAGGCGAGAACTTTGACACTGGCACAGCATGAAGCTGCTTAAATCAGGGCCTCATTTACAGGACCCCGCTGCCTGCAAAATGCCTCTAATGGCATTATCCCCAGGCCTGAGGGGCGAGCTGAATAACAAAACCCAAAAGGCTCTCTTATGTGGAAAAATAAAGCTAATCTCTGATAGTATAACCTAATCTCCTCTTGATCTGCTCTCAAGCACCTCTGAAGTTGAAAGCAAAAAGCACAGTAGAAAGATGTACTTGTACTGCAATGTGCTTAAGAGAAAGGATTTGTTTTATACATTTACACACTGTTGTAGCCATCGATTGAACACTATTGTTAAATGACCTGGTTTACTCTGAGAAGTGAACTTTTATAATTTCCAACAACAGTGAGCACAGCAGATCAAATTCCACCACACAGTTTTATAGTTCAACCTAACGGCAGGACATAAAATTGCCATTTGGTAAACGTTATCAACCATTGTTTTCTCTTGTTAGTAATTGTATCTGATTGATCAAGACTTAAATGGTGATGTATGCTTCGACTAAAATGTATATTTTAAAAGCCATATTTGCTGGTAGTTTATCCCACAACAATTCTGTGACCTCAGCATTAAACGTTTATTGAGTTTATCCCCCTGACCTCAAATTGGAAATTTGTGTTGGAACCAACCTAACTGACTATTATAGCTCTCAACTGTTGTTAATTTTACATTTGTCTAATAAAACGCAGCAGGAAGCTGAAGTACTTCTTTATAATAGGCACTTTTAGCCAGATTGTTTAAGAGTAATTTGTGAACTTACTCCTACTCCTACTTTTGCAATGCAGCTTTGCTACAAAACAGTTGGCGATTGCATAAATTAAACATTTAGTTGTTGCAATTTTCTTGCTTTTTTAAACATTGTTTTTAAAGTGTGCTAAGGACAAGCTATTCTGCATGGTAAGGCGATTGCATCCCCAGTGAAATGCTGGGTTCGAGTCCAGAGGAGAAAAGAATATGAGTTGAAAAGTTTTTTTTCCACAATCTGTTGCAATGTTTGTCTAACAGTGTTGACATACTAAATCAACTGAAGGAAATTCACCTTAAATGTAAATGGTGAAAAAGCAATAACATGTGCTTATTTTGCCATGAGGTGCTACCCTAAGGTCTCAACCTTTAATGCAGTCTGTGTAGTTTGCAGCCATGAACTGAAGAATCCAAGAGCCGCAGGTGTTAATTTGATATTCAGTGGTATCTTAAGAAGAGAAAACTCACACCAAAGATGACGATTGGAATTCAACCAAGACAAGGAAGTTTTCAAAAGAATAAATAATCAACATACCTTTCAGCCTTTTGATAAAATTTGACGGTGCCTATTATTGTAACAAAATAGTCCAGCAATTCTCATGCACAAAGGAAGGTTCAGATTTCAAAGCGCCATAAAGTCAGCTGAACTCCAAAGTTCTGTGAGCTGTGTGTATTATTGCCAAAGCTTGCCTTTAACCTATAAAATTGTCTGTAACAAAATTTATTGAAACGTCAGAGCCTAACTGTTTACCTCTTTATTTTAGTCGTGCTGTAAAATCAAAGATTAAAATATTAAGTCCACAATATAATGATTTTTTTTCTTTGAATATAAACCTGCGTGAATGTTGCCTTTATCAAAGTTTCTTTCATTTGTAATATGCAATGAGCCTTGACTTTTGCTCTGCTTGTTATAATTAAGTTCCAGTCAGTGATGGACCAAACTTTTTTTGTGTGTGTATGTGTCTGCTTATATGAAGTTTTTCTTGCGTGACCTTTCTATAGTGTTTTACAAACACATTTTCGTTCAGTGGTGTGCTCGATGATAACAGTTTATTAAGCATGAGTGAGATTTCTGCATTTTTCTAAGTGCTGAACACATTTTAAAAGGCTTGAGGAACGTGTATAAATATTTTGCGGCATAAAGTAAAACAGCAGCTGCCACTCTAGAAAAAATGATGCAAAACTGCAGACTAATTTTTCTCTATATTTTTTGACTTGTAAATAATCAGAAACATATATTCATAGCAAATTGCCTTAGGATTTTCTTGGCTCAGACAGGATTGATGTGTTTGTGTGCTTAATTTTCATTAACAGTTCTTTATCATTCAACAAATCGAGTACAGGAACAATGATAGCCTTGAGACTTCTCCAGGTTGTTAATGACATAAAATAGCTCATTCAATTTTGTGTGCTTTCCCCTATGAAAACTGATCTCACAGTGAAATGCTGATGATAAAAGTGACCTTGTAATATAATTCAAAATTCCACTATTTATCATCATTAGTGTGTGAAAGCGTCTTTGGATTCAGTTTCCTGATACTGGGAAGAATGCAGTCAGCATTAAGAAGGGGCAACTATTCAATTCAGAAGAGCACAGTTTTGAAGGGAAATGATCCTTAAACTGATGGCAGAATTAATATTGGGCTAGGACAGACGGTCCACAATTGAAAGTTTGCCTACTTGGATTTCTGCACATGGAAGAGCACTTGAAAGGAAGACAATTTTTTTTGTACCGTGCCATATATTGTCACCATCAATCAACTTGTGTTTGTTGACCAAGCAACATGTTGTCAGTGTTTATTTCATGGATGTTCTAATGGGGAACAGAACAAAGGACTCTCCTCCCAGCAGGCATTTGTATTTAACACCTCGCCTATTGAATTGTCGTTTCTCTTGTTTCTTGATGGCAAAATTAGTTGATTAGAGTCACAACAAAGAAACTCCGTGAGTCGTTCTGGTGATGTGAATTTTTTNAACAGAGGATTTTGTAAAATATAAACATGTGAATCCTTAGTCTAGTTCATTTATTACGTGGAACAAAGAAATTAACTCTTCATTCAAGTGTTCTCTGATGTAAATCCGTATTTTCAAAGATGTGCTTCATCATTTTGTGAAAAGCACTTTTAGGTGTCAGCCATGTATGTTACAGGTTAGTTTGAAATCAGCATCACATAACGAGCTCTATTGACTGAGTAGAGTATTACACACAGGAGCAGAAACTACTGTACTTATTTTCTGAAGAAACTGTCGAAAACATAGTTTCTGCAAAGGAAAGTTGAGTTGGCTAAAGGTTCACAGTTTATTTGTGTCATCAGTGAGGAGAATCTGCTCTGAATGGAGAGTAAAATCTACTTATCCTCACCTAGGCATTTGTAAAATTAAACTGTCAATGGTCTGCAGTGGTATTGAATGATATAGTTTCTTCATGAAATGTAAGTAGAAAATGTCACGAGCTGCAAGTATGTACCTTTAATAATTGTTTCTAGATATGAATACTTATTATCTTATTGTTTTAAGAGCTCTGGCTTCTTGTCGGATGTGTTGTATCGGGTCAAACATCTCCCCTTTCTTAATTTATCAAGCTTTTGATCTCTTGTCAGTTCTATACATTGGCAAGTCGTACCTCTAATAGTATGTTTCAGGGTCACAAAAGGTCACTATTACATCGCAAAACTTACGGGCATCCTGGTGTTGCATCCCCACACAGCTTTACAGATGTGGTTTTGTGTTCCTGTTAGTCTGCTCTACTTCGCTGTCCATTATATTTTTATAGGTTGGTTCTGCATTCCTTTGAGTCAACCCCTAGGAGATGGAGGCCTGTTAGTTTATTACTTACATATGTCTGAGCCCCTTTACCTCAGCAGGGAAAGACAAAATATGAAGAAGTAACTGTAGATTTGGGATGGTCGACTAATCCTTCTCCACCTTGAACTAATCGGCAAGCCTATGTGTTATTGCACTGAATGTTGTTCTGCAGTGCATAGCCAGTGGGGTTTCAATTTGTAGAAGCATAAACAGATACTAAACTAGAAGAAATGGTGCAGTGATTTATTAACAGAGCACAGATCAAATTATCACAGCAGTTCCCTGCTGTCAGACCAACAATTGCCTCCTTATTCCAGTTCCTCCAGAGTTTTCCTACAATATTGTCTGATTTTCTTCTGTGAGACTAAATTATTTGACCTGTGCACCGGATCATTAGAATTAACTTCAACATTTGTTTCCACTCTTTTTCTTCCCTCTCTTTTTCCCAACCCTTGACTTTTTCTCCCATGTAGTTATATTTGTACGTTCCTTACAGTTCTTCTGGGACTGATTTATCATCATTTGTGAACATATATGTCTCGAAACCTTGGCTTTGATCATGTTGTATTTTATAACTTGTGTCTGTTGTACATTTAACCTTTAGTTATACTGTGTTTTAAAATCCATCATCTAAGACAAGTGAAAGAAATATTTTGCTGAATACAATTATATTCTGTCTCCAAAGAAATTCCATTATCCTGTTCTTATACATCATGTGTTGTTATCATTCTTGGTAGACTTTTGTTTACATTTTTTTCTTTCTTGATCTTTAAGTGGCTTAACTCTCGTCACTTTCCAAGCGTTCCTTACGACTTTACACTTCATATTCCCCTATCCCAGTCCCTTTTCCAACGCTTACAGCTTGATCCACTGGAACATGATTGGATCCGCTATGCTGCTATGGGAAACACAGCTGCTCTGACTCACCTTTTGCTCCAGGATCCAACTCTTGCATCAAAGAAGGTAAGATGTTTCTCCAAAGAATTTGCACAAACTCCATTCATTAGCAAGCACTAGAGATAATATTTTCAAACATGTAAACCTTGTCAATACAAATCCATTTTGTGCTACAGTATAATATAGGAAGCAAGATTTTCACACCCGTGTTATTAAATTTCTGACAGTAACCTTTTCTGTTATGTTGGTGTTACATTTGATGCTGAGGTTGTTATATGCATATGTCCAGCGATCATTTTACAGTTTTCATCAGAAACATTGGAGGCATTTTTAAGGTGGTATTCTGAATCAAGTTGTGGTGTTTTCTTAATATCCACAGTGAACTGCAGAAAATCTATATATAGTAATACAGTAAGTTGAGACTACATTAACTAAAAACACAGAGCCTTAGTGGGTATGAGCCCACAGAGGGTCTAAATATCTCAGCTCTGAATGACTTATATTGAGCTTGGGGAGAATCAAATGTCTCATTTACACTGTGGGTTTTCTACATGAGACTGGTATGTCAGGAATACAGGCATCAGGTGTACCATTTAAATCCTGGTAGTCTTTTAGTACTGGTTTCATTATGAAGCTACTGTACATTTATGGAGAATAAACAGGGATGAATTGTTACCTTGTGATGCAAAAGGTGCACTCTTTGACCCTAATGTAGGGGTATTGGTGCAGAAATGCCATTAGCAATCATTCGCCATGTTGGAAACGATGTCTGCTCCCCTGTACTGCAGTGTATTTTCTTTTAAAATAAACACTGAAAACAAAGTTACTTTACGAATAAGTGTTAAATACGAGGAGACTATGTAAACGTTTGTTAAGTATGTCAATATTTGGAATTTGCGCAATGAAGAGAGATCCAGAAGTTTCAGGTCGAAGAAAATATGGTAATCTGATATGTATGTTGACATGTATGTTTGGGTGGAATTCTCTGCTAGAAACCATTGTTAAGGAAAGTGTTTTTTCAAGTGGGTATTATATAAATTCTTGAAAGTTTTTTTAAAAAAATTGTTTTGAAGAGTATGGCGAGCAAGCAGGAGAGTGGGATTAGATTTACGTGGCTCATTTAGAAGAGAATACATATTCCGTTCCAGGGACAGAGAAATTTGCATGTGTAGATAGTGCACATATGTTGGAATGCTGGTTTGAACACTCTTAAGCATGGTGATAGGTTTCCTGGCTGACCACAAACAATATTGGGTGGCTCAGTGCAAATTTGATGTGCTAAATGGCCTTCCATTCCAACAATCTATCCCTGGGATTTCTATGTGTAAGTGGGATGCATGGAAACCTCGGCTTGGCTTGGATACTCAACAACAACAACAACAACAACAACAAGATTCCATTTATAAAGCGCCTTTCACGTCAGGAGGACTCTTCAGCATGATGATGGGATTCCGCATGTGTCAGGCACCCGACTGTGTTACTTGTTTGAAAACAAGAAGTTTCCTGAAGCCCTTTTGGGTGCAGGCATTGCATCAATAGTTTCTTTTAAAAAAATGAAATGAACAGATAAAATGGTTTTAAAATGAGTGTTTGATGGGGACTGCGGGCGAAGGGGTCACCAAGATATCATATTCAACCAAATAATTTAAGAGAGAGACATTTTGGATAGCATTATCTTTTTTGAAACACACTTTGAACACACCGCTCAATGCAAGTCACTTGTGCTTGCTCAAACCAGTTCAGACTCTCGTCGGTAGATAAGGCTCTCTGACCACTAAAGGGCAGATGGCTGCCTTTCATCTTCCATTTCAATGTGTAAGTGCAATGTTTGCTTAGCCTAGCCTTGGTATCAGAGGAGATTCTTTTAAAAAGTCCTCCCCCAATTATTTGGCTTTTACCCACAGTCTGTAAACAAATCAGCGAAAACTGTTGTGAATGTTTGAAAACTATCTTGAAGTAACATATTTTGTTGCACAGACTTGACCTTTATGTCTCAAACAGCATAATAGTTAACACCAATAACTGTCAATTGCTAACTAGATAAATGAGGGATCGTGAACTGTGGCATGTTGAGTTGACATTATAATGGGAATAACAAGGCTTTATTCTATTTGATAAGAACCAAGTAAACAATCTGTTTTGAATATTTCTTGTATCAGAGAAGTGTTGAGAAATAGATGCACTTCTAATTTAATTGATGTTGATTTCAAGAAATTGATATTAAATTTCAACATGAGCTATAAATGGCAATTCTAGATTTGTGTGAAAATTAGGCATTTGATGTGTTCGCAATAAATGTACAGACATTAAATAAAATAGTTGGCAGCACTTGTGCTAACGGTTGTCTTTTTGTTTTGCCAGAGGAAAAAAATGTAATTTCTATGAGCCTAAATTGTGCTGGGCAGCATTCTCAGCTGAAAGACCCTACATTTGACAGGCTCTACTGTATAATGATTAATTACTTCTCAGCTTCATTGGACTTTTCTAATTTCCTTTCGCCATTTGCTGGAGGCTACAAGCGATAACTGCAGCTCTGATTACTTTGTGCAAAAGGGAAATGTCTATGACTGCCCTTATTCCACAAGTGATCAGAATGAAAGGCTGGCTAATCAGAGGTTTCGATGAGAAGTGTTTTTAGCTGTCTTTATTTGCCCTCCATCATTGATGTACTCTCCCAAATAAAATGTCACATTCGTGGACTTAAAAGAAATCTCAGCATGTACCGACCAACTGTGAATATCTACATTGGATACCTAACTTTTTGCCAGGGGAAAAATAATGTTCAGAACTGAAAGTGTACTGAATGTATTATTTAATCCATTAATCACCATACATTATACACTCCAAAGAGCCCAAGACAAGCCCCATGTTTCTAAATGTTGTCACTCATAACAATTTGGATCCATAAATGAAAGTACAACAATATTAAATATTTACTGAAACATATTCTTTATTTTACTCTTCATTGATTTTTTGGGGGACAAACATCCAATTTTTGACTTTTTTGTAGTAGATTACATGTTGCCATGTCGATTAAATGTAGAATTAGTATGGATTTTCAATTTCCCATTTGAAGTTGGTGGACGGTTTTCTGTTTTTTTGTGAGGAAATGCTTTAAGCTTCATGGAGGTTTTCAAAGTGAGGATATGGAATTTAGTTTAGTTTTATATTGACAAATATCATTTTATCATACAAGTTAGGCATGTTGAACAAATTCTGAGTCAAATAATAAAAAAGAGACTTATGAAAATTAATTAAAGCCAAAAGTTTTAAATTATGTATTTCCTTATTAAATCTCGGAATTCTAAAGCGTTGATTACATTAAGAAACCAAAATATTAATTATATTATGATGGCTTGCAATAATTTATTTAAAATTTCACCATAACATTGGTTTTAATGATTAGAGAATGCTGTCTGGTTTGAATATCATCATATCATTATGTATAATGTTTTAAAATTATGGTTCAAGATAAAGAAAAATCCTGCTCCTTTGGAATTTTTTTGTTTGCATTGTTGATAATACTGCACAGCTTAACTCACAAGCAACACATTAATGAATGGGTTATATAGATTCACGTTGCTCATGGAATATAACTTGTGTTGCACCTGTACTTTTAGTTAATAGGTCCGCATAGGAAGAATGAGGTCTACACTGCAGGCCTCAAAATATATAGGGATATAATTATTCAACTTCTAGGTCCCAATAGTAGCATCAAGACTTCCAGCACTCTGACAGCTACTTTGCTCATCCTAATATGCTCAGCCTGGGAACAGGACGACAACATTCATGTGTTATTGATTAACACAATGAATATCGTCGAAAGGCAACTGGACATCGATTTGTCGATCTCCCGATATAACTAGCAATTTGAAATTTTTTACACTTAGCCTTATATTGTTCAGGAAAGATGATTTTCAGTTTATAGTAAACAGTAAATAGACAAGTGCACTAACACTTGTACACTTGACTATACTATTTACTATATGGTAAATATTATATACTTGACTAAATACTATACACTAAAAATCCTCTTTCCCGAGAAATACAAGGCTAAGCATAAAAATATCAAATTGCTAATCATACTGGTAAATCACATAAATAATTTTACATGATAACAATAATAAAAATTGCATTTTTATCCTTGAGAATCTGTCAATTCTTTACTTAAATTCTCAGAAATTAGAACGATACCATTAAATAACTAAAGGAACAAACCAACCAATTTCTATCGGCACTTCTATTACTATTGCTCCCAATTATAGTAAACCGGATCCGCTAACGGTTCTCTAAAGTATGTATCAGACTGCAGTGGGGTGAGCTGTATTTATGCACCGTGCACAGTTGCTTGAAAAGTTTGTAGATTTTGCATTTGAAATTGTTGAAGAGTTCTCATCATGAGAATGACAGATGGTGGTTGTGTGATACAGTATCATGTAATAGCCTTCCAGGGGAGTTGCTCCCGGTTAATGTCAGTGTGGTGCTGCTTTCCGTGGAGCTCAGCAGTGCTGCGATGTTTAAAAAAGAGCTTTTGGGAGGAAGGCGATTCTGAAGGGAGACTGAATTCAGTTAACTCTGGGAGGGGACTGGAAACGTGACAGAAGTAGGGTGGACAGAGGATTTTGTTTCCTGTGGATTGCTATTCTTTGTGGAGTTTTTTTATTGTTTTTCGTTTGGAAAATAAAACACTGGTAAAAACTGGATCTAAGGGTTTGACTGTGTTCCCTGTGCCACCTGAGTTAACCTCATACGGCAATAGTTTGGTTTCTTTTTAAATGGTCCAGGTCACAATATTTCATAGGTGTTATTTGATGGCTCAATTACAGGCATCGCATAAAAGGCTTTAACTATTTATTTGAAACCCCTAATAAATTGCGGGAATGTTAATTTGAAAAAAACCCAGAGAGCAGTCTGCATGGTTTGGCCTGATCAATTAAATACTTCAATTCTGTGTTTGGTACATGATTAAAGGGGTGGTTGCTCCATTTTGGGGTGTTTAGAGCGAGAGACCTGAGTTCAATTCCAGGCAGGGCGAAACCTTGGGCAAGTTTCCTTACTCCACACGC